GTCGTCGATTTGACGGCGCCCCGATTGCTATTCAGACCGCAAGACATCGAGGTGGAACCGAATGCCATTGTCGAGGTACCTTGCCGAGCTGAGGGTATTCCGAAGCCAGTGATACAATGGAAGAAGGACGGTAGTGCGCTCGAGGGCAATAGGGTCAAGATCACACGCGGAGGAAGTCTTCTTATTTTTAACGTGACTCCGCAAGACTCCGGCAGGTAAAATTGAAACACGAGTCATTAACTATCATCTTTTTTTTGAATGAAAAGAGTTATTAAAGGAGTTATTTTTGTGAATATGTATAGAAATCATTTCTCACGATATATCTTTCATTAAAAAAAAATAATTAGTAAATTTGAAAAAATACTTGAGTCATGTTATACAATATTACGATTATTAATTCGGAGACATCGTCTATCAATCTTTAGCTACGTTGATAAAAGTTTGATAAGGGTAAAAATATCTATAATAATAAAAATCGAAATCGAGCTTCCATTGCATCAATTTCCATTGCATTTATCGATCCTGTGCACAACAATGTCAACAATCACCTTCCTTTTGCAGGTACGAGTGTTCAGCTATAAACGATTATGGCCGCGCAACTGCCGATGCTTTGGTGCGCGTTCGGCAGCCCGATGCAACGGATACGCTCGTCATACGAGCCTTCCAAAGTGCCACCGAGGAGATCGATCGTGCCATCAATAAAACGCTATCGTCTCTCTTTAATTCCGACGGCTCATCGAAACACGTTGATCCGTTCCGTTTGGCACGGTTTCCGAACGCAATCAGTCGCGCGGCCGCTAGACCCGCCGAGCTCTTCGAAAGAACTCTCATCAATATTCGACGTATGGTGGATACTGGCAGTAAGGCAAACGTGACTGGTGAATTTCGTTACGAGGAAATCTTGACAACTGAACAGGTAAAGTTAATCATCAAACGTACTGTATCAGCTGAAATTACTTAAGCACGTCCCGTTTCGCAGGTGAAGGAAATCGAACGATTGTCCGGATGCACCGGTCATAGACGTCGACAGAATTGCACCAACAGGTGCTTCCATCACAAATACCGGACTATAGACGGCAGTTGCAATAATCTGCGCCATCCTATTTGGGGTTCGTCGCATACAGGATTCCAGAGGGTACTGCAACCCATCTACGAGAATGGTTTCTCGATGCCGGTCGGTTGGGAGAAGGGACGACGATACTACGGCTATCCGAAGCCCGCTGCACGTCTCGTGTCGACCACGCTAATCTCTACCCACGCAATTACGTCAGACGATCAGATTAGCCACATGGTGATGCAGTGGGGTCAATTCCTGGACCATGATCTCGATCACGCGTTACCGTCGGTATCGAGCGAATCATGGGATGGAATAGATTGCAAAAAATCCTGCGACAACGCCGCACCTTGCTTCCCAATGGAAGTGCCGCCAGGTGATCCGCGCATCAACAACAGACGGTGCATCGACTTTGTCAGAACTAGCGCCGTCTGCGGTTCTGGCGCGACCAGTATACTATGGGGCGGCTTGATGCCTCGAGAACAACTGAATCAGTTGACCAGTTATCTGGACGCGTCGCAGGTCTATGGCTATGATGACGAGCTGGCGCGCGATCTGCGTGATTTCACGACGGATCGTGGCTTGCTCCGGGAAGGTCCCACACTACCCGGTCACAAGCCTCTGCTTCCCTACGCGTCTGATCAGTTTGTCGACTGTCGCAGAAATCCACTGGAGAGTTCGATCAATTGCTTCGTAGCCGGTGACATTCGTGCCAATGAGCAAGTCGGCCTGCTGGCCATGCATACTTTATGGTTACGCGAGCACAACCGCATCGCTCGCGCGCTACGCGAGATGAATCCACACTGGAATGGCGAAAAATTGTATCAGGAAGCGAGACGTATCGTCGGCGCAGAAATGCAACACATCACTTATCGACACTGGTTGCCGCGAATATTTGGACCTATGTTGGGAGAGGACTCTATGTTAGGACCGTACCGAGGCTACGATTCCAACGTAGACGCCAGCGTATCCAACGTTTTTGCCACCGCCGCTCTACGTTTTGGCCACTCGCTCATCCAACCGCGTCTAGAGCGACTGAACGCGTCTTTCCAACCGATTCCTCAGGGTCCTCTCAATTTGCGTGATGCCTTTTTTGCGCCTTGGCGACTAGTGGAAGAAGGTGGCGTCGACCCGCTGATCCGAGGTATGTACGCTACAGCGGCGAAACTGAAGCTGCCCGAACAGAATCTCAATGTTGAGCTCACCGAACAACTTTTCCGTACCGCTCACGCGGTTGCGCTCGATCTAGCGGCGATGAATATCCAACGAGCAAGAGATCACGGCCTTCCCGGCTATGTAGAGTGGCGCGATTATTGCAACATGTCGCGCGTCGAGACGTTCGAGCATTTGACTAACGACATCAGCAGCGCTCGAGTGCGACAGAAGCTGCGCGAATTATACGGTCATCCGAGCAATATAGATGTTTGGGTTGGTGGTATTCTCGAGGATCAGTTGCCGGGGATGAAGGTCGGACCGCTGTTCAAATGTCTCCTACTAGAGCAATTCCAGCGAACTCGGAACGGCGATCGGTTCTGGTACGAGAATCCAAGTGTCTTTCGCACGGAACAGCTCGCCCAGATTCAGCAAGTGTCACTAGCCAGAATCTTATGCGACAATGGCGACAACATCACTCGCGTACAACCTAACGTGTTTCTACTGCCTGAGGGTCGTAATGACTTTATTAATTGTGACGAGATTCCCTACGTAGACTTGAACGCGTGGTCTGACTGCTGTGAAAATTGCGAAGATCGTGATAATACTATCTCTCGTGTGCGCAGAGAGGCTGAAAAATATTTTGCACCCAGTCACAACTACGTCAAGGACACCGATTCGTTGAGTCACGAAGAGAAAGTCGAATACTTACAAAGGATGTTTGATGAAAGTAATCGAGAGGCTAAGCATTTGCAACAACAGTCTGACAATTTGTTACGAAGAGTGAAAGAACTCGAGTCATTTTTAAAAGACATTAGAACACAATAGAGAAATTAAGTGTGTACTTGGATCATTCTCTCTCTCTCTCTCTCTCTCTCTCTCTCTCTCTCTCTCGCTCGCTCTCGCTCTCTCGCTCTCCTGCAGATAGTGACGCTCTTGCATTTCTAATATATGCCATATTCTTTATGCATTTATTGTAAATAAAAGCATTTGCAAAAACTTAGTTAATTATTGGGCGTCATTTCTTTTAGACTAACTTAAGCAAATATAATAATATGTTAGCAAGAAGCACATGTATAATGCGAGATAGGCCGAATCGTGTATGTAGCAAAGCTTAAATCACTTTTATAATAAAACATATATAATATATATATATACACATTTTATTACATATATATACATATATATATATATATATATATACGCAGGTCGTCTGAAAAGTTTTGAGCCTCAACATGAAGATGACATTACGTCAAAACCATTTTGGTACTACAATCGTATAACACATGCTTTAAAAGATACCTGTGAAAATTGTAGCCGTTTTAAACGCTCAGTTGTTGTTTGATAATCATTTGTGTCAGTCGATGTCAGTAGCTGCGTTCGGAAACGTCGCTCGGATGCCTCCGATTCATCATCTGTCCTTGTTTAACATTATAACGCAGCCAGTGTTTTTATATAAATGGAAAAAATCGAATATCGTACCTCGTACCGTGATTAAGTTCTTGCATTTGAAAGGCAATACGCCTGCATAAATTAAAGCCGAGTTGGACGCTGTTTACGGGTTATGGGGACTTTGCTTCATCATTTCAATCATTTGCCACTGTGAAAAGATGGGCAGCTAAATTTAAACGTGGTCATACCAGCTTGGCTGACGATGAGCGTTCAGGACGGCCAACATTGCAACCACCACCGATAACATTGAAAAAATTCACCAAATGATACTGGACGACTGTTGAAAAGGTTAAAGAGATAGCAGAGGCTATGAGCATATCGAAAGAACATGTCTATCATATATTGATGATAAATTAGGCATGCGTAAGCTAACCACGCGGGATACCGCGTTTGCTCACTGTAAACCAAAAACGGCAAAAACGCATTCGAATAAACATTTCTAAAACTCTGTTGGAGCAGACCTTTTTATGTCGATTAATAACTATTGATAATGAAGCTTGGATCCACTACTTCACTCTTGAGATGAAGGAACAGTCAAAACGGTGGATTGCGAAGGGCGAACCTGCTCCGAAGAAGGCGAAGACGGTTTCGGCCGAGGTGATTGCAACTGTTTTTGGGATAGTCAGGGAATTATGTTCATCGATACATAACTTATTAACGATACTCTTATGCGAATAACACACATTGCAATTTATATACTCTTCAATTTGTATATTAGAATATGCGACTTTCATACTGATGAAGATCCAAAACAAGGATCGAAACGTTTATGTACTTATTTATGTTTAAAATAAAATATTATTTCCACCCGTACATCTAATGCTGACTCATATAGACTTTTACACGCATTATAGATTATGTTCATCGACTATCTTAAAAAAAGATAAATAATAATAGGAACTATGCATCATTAATTAACAAACTGAAGGCAGAAATTGCGAAAAAATCGTATTTGAAGAAGAAAGTGCTGCTCCGTCAAGATAATGCACCATCTCACACTTTGACAGTCGCCATGGCAAAAAATCACGAATTGCAGTTCGAATTGATTGACTTGCACCCATCGTATTCACCAGATCTGGTCCCCAGCGACTTTTTCCTGTTTCCTCAAAGTTTAGCTCGGAGGGCAGAGATTTTCATCCAACGAGTAGGTCATCACATTCGTAGAAGCATATTTTGCAGAGCAAGACGCCAACTATTATTTGAATGGGTTAAAGGAGTAGGAACATCGATAGGAAAAGTGTATCGACTTAAAAGGAGACTATGTTGAAAAATAAAACTGAATTTAACCGAAAAAAATACTTGTTTCTATATGTTAGGCTCAAAACTTTTCAAATGACCCTCATATACATATATTATACATATATATATGTATACGTACACGTATTAATTACAGTGTATTCTACTTTTTATTTTATGTACATTTATCAACATTCAAATCAAACTGATCTTCTGCAGTTTCATTGTCTAAATGGCAATCCAACATATTTTGTATGTTGCCCACGGGCAACAACATCCTTACCATCGTTCTTTGTGAGTTCTACCGCGAGAAAAACCAAATTCTTTCCAGCACGTATAGTTTCAGCATCAATCGTCACTGTTTCACCAGGAAATGCAGCCTTCAAAAACCTGTACCATTAATAACTCTGTTGTACAATATATATATATATATAAGCATATATATATTTTTTTTAACTAATAAAAATTATAGTAAGTTATATACAAATATTATATTTAATTTCTAGTCTCTAACCAACATCTATATATTCAATTTCTCTATATAACCAACATCATAGACTGCATATATTATATATGCGTTAATTAACAGATTTGATTTATCAAAATAAAAAAGGAAACATTGACAAAAATAATGTAAATTTAAATAACGTAATAATGTAATAACTTATAAATAATTAAAATATGGTAAAATAAAAAATCTAATAAAAATTTTAGATCAAAATCTTACGTCACGTGCAGATCTACAGAAACACCAGGAGGAGGATCAGTTTTGTGAGTTATTATTGCATATGAAGATACACAGTCTATAATAGTACTAGTAAAACCGCCATGTAAAAAACCACCAATATTCAAATGTTCCTCAGCCACAGTAAATTGTGCTTTGCACTTTCCATCGCCAGCTGACAACAACTTTACCTATTCAGAAAAAAATCACAAATATTATATTAATATTTTTATATATACTACATTATATTAATATTTTTATATATATATAATAGGAAATGTATAACACAAAATAATGAATAGGTTAGATCTAATTATATATTAAATATTAATAGATTAAATGAAATTTTTTACACTTACATTTTTCATACATCGACCAAAGCCTTTGCCATTTGCCACTTTCTCCAAAATATTTTTTATAAGTTCCATTTTACACGACATTTCTCGTATTCAGAACGTGCTTACAACGATGTTAGCGCGTTAATATACTATAGTTTACGTTACGCATATTATAGAATTTTAGAGATAAAAACGCATTCTGATTCATAGGCCAGAATCCATAGTCCGTTCTTAATTTCAAGCAAGTTCTTAATTCATAGTCAGATTTTATATTTAAGACCGTCTTAAGTTCAGCCTTGAGGTGTCATAAACCAATCAGAACCGCATTAGCGTCTTATAGCGTTTTCCACTGGGAAAACTGATGCAGCATTAGCGCCATGCTAGGTTTATATGAAAACTGCATTAGTGCAGTAATAGTGCAGACTCAGAAGAACATATGATTTTATATAGGCTGCGGTCCACTTGACGCTACAAACGCTTCGAAGCATTCTTTGATTAGTTAATTCGTAAAATTCTTTGTTTTGATTGGTCGCTCAAACGCTTCGAAGCGTTTGTAGCGTCGAGTGGACCGTAATCATATATAAAACTTTTTTACCCGGGTTATTACAAAATCTCAATCACCCGCAACTCGCCGGCTCGCGTAAAGGAGGCACGGCAGTATCGTTGCGCTTGGCTTAGCACTGAGACACTACCGTGTCTCCTGATCCTCTTAAACATTCTCGATTATTTATTAATTTTTTTATAATTTTTTATAACAATATTTTTAGTTTTTGCGTATCATTAAACTAATGATTTTGAACATTGAAATATTAATGCTAGCTATTTTACTAGATACTAAAACTAAAAATATTATTGTTATTAATTAAAATAATTTAATATCATGCCTTAACGTATGATCGTATTTGAAAGCGCAAATACATAACCTCAATTTCTACTTGCACTGGTCTCCACTGACTTCAAAGACAGTGGAGCAAAAGTTGAACTCAGTGCAAGTTTTTTGCACCAGTTTTGTCAGTGGAACATTAAACACTAACTAGTTTTCACAGTGGAACAACAAAATTGCACTCAGTGCGCACCAGTGTTGAACCAGTTTTCCCAATGAAAAACGCTATAAGAGATGCGTTAACTTCGAGCATTTGCAAGAACATGGCGATCTCCATTATGATTCTTTGATTGATTCATGCACTAGCTTAAGGCCATCTCAAATCTTGAGCACCGTCTATGGATTTCGCCCATAGTGACTGCGAGATATAAAAGTCAAAAGGATCGCGTTTTTATCGATAAACTTCAAATTTAAGTGTGTGATTAAGAGTAAGAAACCGATAATACGGTACTTAATTTTATGATTTATTAGTTTTGTAGACATGTACATGTAACTTTAAAGTTTAAAACTTAAATAATATTCGATTTTATTTAAAACTATGATTTTAATATTATCATCCGAGTTTGATTATCAATAGAGATAATTGCAGAGAAAAAATTGTAATTTTTGGTAATACACAAGATATAGCATTAAAAAAACATTACTTAAGACGGTCTTAAGCCGACTATGAATACCGGCCTAAGATGCTAATACGGTTCTTTGATTGATTCATGCACTAGCTTAAGGCCATCTCAAATCTTGAGCACCGTCTATGGATTTCGCCCATAGTGACTGCGAGATATAAAAGTCAAAAGGATCGCGTTTTTATCGATAAACTTCAAATTTAAGTGTGTGATTAAGAGTAAGAAACCGATAATACGGTACTTAATTTTATGATTTATTAGTTTTGTAGACATGTACATGTAACTTTAAAGTTTAAAACTTAAATAATATTCGATTTTATTTAAAACTATGATTTTAATATTATCATCCGAGTTTGATTATCAATAGAGATAATTGCAGAGAAAAAATTGTAATTTTTGGTAATACACAAGATATAGCATTAAAAGTATGCATACTTGTACGGCATTTATATAATAAAAAAAATCACGAATTTAATAATGTATTATCAAAATATTTATGTTAATCATAAATTTTTATTGTCAACATCATAGACATGTATAATGATTATCTGGGTTATATATTAGTATATCTTTATCGTCGGTAATATAATTAGGATAAAAAAATTGAAGGAAAAAAGACACAAAATAACAAAAAAATCAGAGAAAAAAATTATTTATTTAAATGTGCTTGTAGTAATAAATAATAAAAATAAATCGATAAAAATAAAAAATCGATCAAGAACAATTAATAGGGTTACCCTGATCATCTAACAAATGATCCTGTGGATTATTGAGATATTTAGGCCCATCTCCTATTTTAGTGTATATCATATATTTAAGTTGTCCTGGTGGATACTTTTGAAACTTTAATTTCTCCAAGAGACCCTATACAAAATATAATACTTGTAATAGAAGATATTTCATAAATACACATATTTAAATAACGTATCTACATATATCAATTGATATATACTTGAGAAGGTTTAATTCCTTCTACAGGTAATCCTCTTCTATATTCAAGAGAGTTTTCAGGAGGAGGAAAGAAGTGATCTAAAACACCTATCACTGCTGGTACATCTTTCTCTAATAAATATAATGTAGCATTCGGCCCAGCGTCATAAGTATAAGCAACCTAACAATGTGTCTCGTCAATAAAATAAAACGTATCTAGTCATTTTTATGCTACAACTTATAGAAAAATGCAAATATGAAAAATATTTTATTTTACCTTCACGTCGTTAACTGCATCGTTATAAGAATGTACAAAATTCATGATATTGTTAGAAATATTGTTCATATAAATACATGGAGGATAAGTATCCAAACACACAGCATGAAACTGATTAGAATCCTTCATAGTGAGTTCGGCAAAATTTTTGTAATCCTTCTCAACGATTGCTTGTTGCATTTTATTTGCTCGTTCTGGGACCACATGCATTATTCTATGTTGCACGAGTTGAGATGTTTCTATGCATCGTTTCATACCTATTGCACTTGGAACTTTTTTTTGTTCATCGCTAACCTATAGATTTATATTTTATAAATATTTCTGCTATCTCTTTGTTATCATATCTACCTTTCTTATTAATACATGAAGAAAAAGTTTCTTTCTTTACCACTAGTACTAAAATTCTCATTTCAGGCCAATGAGACGCAGGCACGATTTGCTTTGCTAAACTGTCTGTCCCATTCTTATCTGAACCCATATACCATCTTACAAAACCACCCATAACACTGCGACATGCTGATCCAGAACCAGAACGCGCTATGATACTAATGTCTCCCTATAGAGATGTGCAATCTTCAGAATACAACATAATTTTAAAATATATTAAATGTATTGAACAGAAAAAGAAATTATCATACTTCTATTTTGTAAAGTTTGGCTAATGCTGCCGTAAGACATGCATATCCTGCAGCACTAGAAGCCAAACCAGCAGCAGTTGGAAAATTATTCTTTGAACATATACGAATCTTCCAATCGTTTATATGCCCAGATAATTGTGAACGTTTTCTAACTTAAAAAAAATCTTACTTTAATTTAAAGTAAACATTTTTAAGAAATTCCTATGCACTAACTTACTTTCTTTTAAACAATTTTGAAGTCTTGCATTTTTTATATCTTCTTCTCTGAAAATGTCAGTTTATTACACATAAAAAGAATAATAATAAAAATGATAATTAAACATACTTTCCATTCAGCCAGATACGATCTTCTTTGAAATCAGGACTGATCATAACAGTAGTTTTTGCATGTAGCTATAAAGAAGATACTATTAATATATTCAAGATGTCTCTAATGTATTTGCATCTTCTCCTCATACATTTAGAACTTTAAATTTACCTGAGCTGTATCTAAAGTTGCACTTATGGAATCATTAGTTGGTAAAATTAAGGATTCATCTCTCTTTCCCCCTAAAATCATACAAATCTAAAATGTTAATTTTCACTCGGAAAAACAAATATGATGGTAAAGGGTAAAACATTTCCATATCGGTACTGTAACTAAGTTTCTTACTAGCTATTCAAATTCAAACATGTCCATGTAGCACAAACTCCATGAATCATGCATTTAAACATTTAAAAACATGTGCTCATATATAACAAAAAATTAACTGTAACTTAATAATAATTAATTTGTATTTGTTACTCAAGTAAATAATGTAATTTTTAAAAGCAAATATCAAAAGTATTTTCTGAATAATTAATTGCAACTTATGAACGATATCTTTTTTCAAAATGTATGTTATGGAAGCTTATTACTTCAAATGTATTAAATAATAAACAATTTACGATTTTATACGTGACAATTACGTTGATAAATCAGTAATAGTAGTAGTAGAGAGAAGTCTGAGAGCGGCCATGTCCGGGATTTAGCTGCAATCTTATTTTGAAGCCTCTATGTACACAAAACGTGGACATTGAATTACGTAGTCAATGTCCACGATCTCGTCAGTAATGTCCACGATTTTTTGATTGTATTCTTTGCTATATCTACGATTTTCGGTCTGTTAAATAGACAAAGACGAATAATCGTTTGTTCAACAAGCGCCGACAGATTGATTGTTAGTCTTTATCTATCTAACGGACCGAAAATCGTGGACATAGCGGCTGCGGTCCACTTGACGCTATAAACGCTTTGAAGCGTTTGAGCAATCCGAACAAAGAATTTTACGAATTGACTAATCAAAAAATGCTTTGAAGCGTTTGTAGCGTCAAGTGGACAGCAACCAGCGAAGAATACAATAAAAAAATCGTGGACATTGGCTATGTAGTTCAATGTCCACATTTTGTGGACATAGAGGCGCTTCAAAATAAGGTTGCAGCTAAATCTCGGGCATGGCCGCTCTCAGGCTTCTCTCAGATAGTAGTAATTAAATTAATGGCTCTTGCCCCTAGAGAAATAAAAAGGGAGTCAATACAGCTAGAATAAAATGGAAATAAACTGGAATAATGAATCTAATAATGAATTTAAAGCCGGCCACAATATATATTTTCAAAAATATAGAGATGATGTAATACTTGGACCTCGGACCGAAGTAGACATATCTACCTCAGCCGAACTCTGGCTACGTTTACACCGTGCGTTTAGTCCGCGACCTATACAATAGGTGTCTTTGTTTAATATACAGGATAAACGTAGCCAATCTCTGGAGCCAGAGATATGCATCAGTAAAAATTTTAAAACAACAATACGTATACATACTTGTGTGTGTATGTGTATGTGCGTGTGTGTGTGTTGTGCGTGTGTGTGCATGTGCGTTTCAAAATTCATAATGGAAACTTGAACATTTCAATTTCTCACTGAATAATAAAGCTTTAATTATATATGCGTACAATATTTAATAACTGCAATATTAACTGGTGCAATGCAAGTAACAGTATTCATGATTGACGTTTAACTGCACGACTTTCACTCCAATCACTATCATCAATATCAGCTGTTACTAGCTGGCTGAATTGCTGACTGATGCTGACTCGCTGAATAGAGTCCTATATATATAAAGAAACTCGACATTGATGTCCAAGTTTCTGATTGGGTATCCCCACCTAAGTGAAGCAGCCATTTTCAGACTGGCTGTCGCAACAAACTTGCGATCGGCTTGCGTCTAAAGCTGGTTCTACATTGATCGCATCGCAGCGTCGCAAGCGTGTTGCAAGCGTGTCGCAAGCGTGTTGCAAGCGTGTCGCAAGCGTTGCAGTCCAATCAGAGTCGAGCTAGCTTGACGTTGATTGAACCGCAACGCTTGCGACGCTGCGATGAGACTAATGTAGAACCAATTTAATGTAGAATGGGCTTTAAGTTGGTTTTAAGCTGGTTCTACATTAGTCGTATCGCAGTGTCGCAAGCGTTGTGGTCCAATCAGAGTCGAGCTAGATTGATATCGATTGGACCGCAACGCTTGCGACACTGAGATGCGACTAATGTAGAACTAGCTTAACATGTTTATTGGTAAAGGCCATCACACGTAAAAAAATTTTAGTTGTGATCGTAAGGCCGTAAGCAAATCGGCCAATCACAGTCGAGCGTTTTAAAACGCGATCGTAATTTTGATTATAATTGGTCGATTTGCTTGCGACCTTACGATTACGACTAAAATTTTTGTATGTGTGACGGCCTTGATTGCGTTGCATTTTGCTGCACGGCAAGCATTTCCGCGTCTAGAGTATAGAAGTCATTAGGCTTAAAACATAAAAGCGAAGAGAATTGGGCTATCAACTGTTGAGTCTGCTAAATGCAGTCTGTACTTATATTAAATAAATTGATTTGTTAAGTTACTCAGTTCTCGATTTTATTTTTGACTAAATTAAAAATAAAAAAGACAATCTTGAACACACAGTATGCATTCCTCTCGAGCAAGCGCGTGTATCAGAGTAATGTGTGTGTACGTGCGTGGGCGCGTGTGTGTGTACGCGCACACACATGCACATACACACACATAGTACAATTAGTAATCTGTAATAAATATTACATCCAACGATATACATGTGCAATAAAAACAAATTAATTTTTATAAACTATGCTGGATTAGATGGTAATCCCATAGACCATGCATCCAGCAACTTTTTATCCTGTGGTCCAGCACCCAAACTGAGCATAAGTCCAGAGAGATCGCCACGATGGCCTCGTCCACGCATTGCATGAACAACTTTTGCAATGCTGCATACAATAACAGAAATATATATTTAATTACTATATTAAAATAATATAGGTGTGATTTAAAAGAGAACAAATATATATTCAAACATAAATAATTGCAAATATATATGCTTAAGAAAACATCTGATATGTCTATTTAAAATCAATATGATGGAAGTGAAATAAACTAGTATATACATGACAACAATTCGTACTTGGCCCATTCTTCCTGAAGAGTCGCAAAGTGTGCTTTGAGAACTGAGTTTCCAAGTTTTTCATTATCGAGTGATTTTTCAATTTTTGTTAACAGAGTCGGAAGTTTTGTTGGTAAAGAACCAATCCACTTAACTATATAGGATTTTACATTCTCAACCTTGTGTTCATTAAGTATTATATCTAATCTGCATACAGTTGCACAAGGTAAGGGAACTGCTACTGAGGTATCTACACCTAAAATTTTTAATGCAATATTGTGATATAATATTTTTTTTATAAAATATAATTTATATATATATATATATATATGAGGGTCGTCTGAAAAATTTTGAGCCTCATCATGAAGATGGCGTTACTCGTCAAAGCCATTCTGGTATTATAATCGTGATAAAAAAAATAGTATTCGTTTTAGATTTCGTAAAATTACAGCAGTAGATCTTTCCGCAATTTCAGAAAATTCCGGCAAAAGCTCAGAGTCGTCCCAATTAAAATTAAAATTTACTGGCAATTTTGCGTTCAATAAAGTAAAACCTTCTTCAGTTTCTATAAATTATATGTGATATTATGACTTCCATTAAGAAAAAGATTTATTTTAATATCAATTGTTATATTATAGATAGAAAAAAATACTTATAATTGCTAACCAATTTGATGTTCAACATTATAATTAAGTTCATCATCTAATAAACTCATTGGGAAAATTTCTATAAAATGTCTCGCACCAGCACTGAGGATCCATACTAACCACATGTGAATTCTGAAATATTTATATATATATATATATACACATATACACGCGCGCGCATGTAACATAGTATATAATTCAATGTAATTATAGCAAATAATCGTAAAAATTGTACACAATATTTTATCGCGATTTACATGCAGGATTAATGCATGTAAATCGCAAATTAACATTTACCTTACAAAAACATGCTTTTCATTTGTTATATCAGTAAGTGTTCTAGATTGTTTAATAGAAGTACTATGACAGCCCATTCCACCGTTTGCTGTCGTCAATCTCATTGCCCTTTGCGGACATTCTGCTTCTTCCACATTATATCTTCTCTCTGCAAAATCTTGCAGCTCTCTAATTACCTCTTTTAAATTGTCAATCAAAAATGGCCACATGTTCAACAAGAATTGTTTATCTCTCATAAAAACGATAAAACTGCACCATCTTCTAAATCCTCTTGCCTATAAAGATAAATATATCATTTAAATGTGCCAGCATAAGAACGATAGAACAAAAGTGTGATAAAATCTTTAGATTCCAGAGCAATTTTAAATAATAGCATGATTTGAAAAATTTGTTGTAATAACTACCAAACATGCTTTTTCGTTGCATAATTCACCTGGGCATCTTTCAATGTAAAAGTATGACTTAAAACATGCCCCCTGTACTCATCTCCAAAGTAGCAAACACCTTCTTTACCAGGATGCACTTCACAACTTAGACTCCTTGAAAAAAAGATTTATAATAATGAGTTTTAAAAAACTAGAAGCATACACATATTATACATTTTTTGTATAATATCAAATATGAAACTTTAATCTTTAATAATATTATTATAATTTATCAATAAAATATATTAATATATAATATAAGATATATATATTTTATATATGTATATATATATATATATAATAATTTATATCTTTGTAACAATTTTTTAATATGAAATTTATAAACCAAAATATATAAAAAATATAATATACACCTAATGCAAGCATGCTTTAGCAGGTTTCCTATATCTTGCATTAATGATTGCTGAGCAGACAAAAAAGATGTTCTTGTTTCATGCTCGTTACTTAAATATTTAACATTCCCAATACTTTGACAGCCCTCGCATTCATCTTGTCCATCCTCCAAGGAAGCATGACCTTGTCTCAACACTTCTTTAGGTCCATAAAATTTTAGTTTTTCTGTATTCTGTGTATTATAGTTACGATATGTTTGTGTGGTGAATATCACTTTAGGTCCATGTATTTCACAGAAGGTGCACAATGCAATTGCAGCATTCATTGCTCTTGGAAAATACAGATTTCTACAAATCCTTTGTATTTATCTCAGAAAAGAATCCAAATATCATCTATTACGATTCTTCACATGATCTTGAATTGTTAAATAAATAGAATAGCCTAGAAAACTATATTCTTTATAAGTATACATTCTACAATCTGTATCCATATGTACAGACTTATATATGTATAAATGAATAGAATTATCTTTTATTACAATAATATTGTAACATATAAAAATATCTAATAATTTAAAATGATGGTTATATTCTACGAAATATATATTATTATAGACATTGGTAGAATGTGATCCACATGAACATAATCGAATATTTATGTAATTACAATTTGATTTACAAGATTGAATCAATTTATACAACATAACCTCTGTTAAAATACTTTTATAACACATAAACTTATCATTTACCTGCTTCTTCATAACGCTCAGTAAGACTTCACGACGAAGTTAATTTTTTTTCATCCTTTTCACGTGATAAAACAAAAATGAAGTCGGGACAGAGACACGTGACATGATGATAGCTAATCTCAACATTCACACAACGAATGCGCGCGCACACACGCATACATATCACATACGTACACACACATATACAGTGGCATACACATATGAACAAAACTAAATTTACACATTTGCATGTCGGGTTGCCAATTGAAAGGTGCTATATCAAAATAAGCTATATAAATAGTCCAATATAAATTTTATATACACATATATATAATATATATATTAAATATAAATTATACATATTGCATATCTTACACTATTTTTATGAATAAATTTACTAGGATAGGCAATATTAAGGAAAAACGGAAGAAAACTTTCTTTTCTCTTCTATACATCAAATTTGTAACCAAATTTCAATTTAACACCTTCATAAGCAGCTCTCATCCATATGCCTACGGCATGTGCTCCAGGATGTGGATATTTGAATGTCTACGTATATAAATTATGATAAATTATAATTCTATCCTAAATTTAAATAAGTATTATTATATGTATGACATACATATGTATACAAAACATTAAAACAATCAAATAATACCTTGCAATTATTTGTAGAATCAATAGAGAGAGATCCTGACATATATACAGTTTGCATAGCGAAAGTTTCGGCAGCTTTGACAGCTTCCCCAAATGCATTGACAGGATTTAAACCAGAACTTAATGCGTCTCTTAATTTATTTTCCGCAGGTATCAAAGCATCCAACATGGTTCGATTACCAATCGATGTTCCGCTAATCTCAGATATCATCTTGTTTGCAGATGTTAGAGCAGTTAACCACATATTGACAGTCACTTGATCATCATTCCGAAACTTAAGAAAACTCTAAAATATTTCTTAAAATTTCTTCTCAGTCTTAATGATGAAAAAAGATTATACTGTTGATAATCTTACTTTAGCAGCAGTATCAAAAAATAACGAGTATATTCCACCTTCTAAGCTACCCGTTTCTTTTTCAATAATATGGCTTATTTGTATAAATGTTATAAAAGGTCTCGTTGCTAAAATTTTTCCTTCCTATAATGCATACAAATATTTACAATTGATGAAAAAAAAGATTTATAGTACTTTCTTTATTTCATTCATCCATAACCTTGATTGCCAATTTTATGGCATTGGCACTTTGTGCAAGTATGGTTCCATAATTTCCATCACCACATTCTCCATCCATTATATCGAGTTGTCTTGCACATGCTATTAAAGCTTCGCATGCAAATGTTAAAACTATAAGAAACGCTGAACTATTCTGAGGTTGCATTATTGGTCCTATATTGGATACATTGTCTTTACATGCCGTCTGCAATTAAAAAACTTACATTATAAACAATAGAATAAAAATCATTTACAATTACAGAATATATGTAATTTATAGCTGACTGGTAATTAAATAAATTGAATTGATATTACCTGGGAATTTTGCTCTTCCACTTTATGTGGCATCTCGTCATCCTTCATCATAAGTGCGCTGTGTGAAACGTAATAATTGTAATTTTATTTCTATATTTCTAAATTGCACTGTACGCGCGGAATATTGACATACGTGTGTTCATGTAGATACATGAGGTCTGTTCGCGTTGCTGCACTTTTGGCACTCGGCATCTTCGCTTTCTCTCTTTTCAAGGCCAAATATATATCTATCTCATTTTAAGTGCAAAAATATTTGGGGATTTCATGCAACGCGAACAGACCTATACACAAATGTATCACAACCAGCTACTCTCAAGTACTTCATAGAATAGAGATTTTTTTATTTAATTGAAATACTGAGCAAGACTGGGCTGCGTTCAGGAATTACGCCCAGATAACTCTAATGCCTGGTTTATGCTTCGGTTTTAACCCTAAAATCCTAAAATTCAGCCAATGGAATACAGATTTCCGTTAGGACCAATTAAGACTGGTAGTCCTATTGGCTGAATTTTAAGATTTTAGGATTAAGACCGAAGTATAAACCAAGCATAAGCTATAGGTTATATTACGTATATTCACCGACGAGAAACTATTAAAGACCGTCAACCCTGGGCAAATTTTCGGCGGTATAAAAAGGGCCCCAAAGACCCGGAGATAATCGAAAAACGCTGACATTATCAACAATTGATATAAATTTGCTATTATTAACATAAATATTTGACTAATACATTATTAAATTCATGATATTTTATTACATAAATGCTCTATAAATAAATATGCATATTTGTAAAGTTATAATATCCTATATATTGCCGAAAAATTACAATTTTTTTCTCTGCAGTTATTATCTCTGTTGATAATCAAACTTTGACGATAACATTGAAATCACAATTTTAAGAAAATCGAGTATTATTGAGTTTTAAATGCACGTACACCGATAAACACGTCTACTAAACTAATAAATCATAAAATTAGTACAATATTATCAGTTTTTGACTCTTAATCACTTCAATATTAACAAGGACGCGAACTCCCATAAGGATGTCGGTCTTTAATAATATCTCGTCGGTGGTATATTATAGCAAAAATACACCCTAAAGTTATCTAGGCGTAATTCCTAAACGCAGCCCTGAGCATAAGCTTTGCGAAACAATATGGCGACTCACGATAAGATTTTCATTGGCTCAAATATCTGCGCGTAATTTAAGAACTAATAGAAACAAATAGTGAAATGTTGAATCTGCAATAACATTACCGTATAAATTTAAAGCATTGTTACACTACGCATAAGTGCTACATTTTATACATATATATATTATATATAATTATATGTTTAATAAACTGTTGTATCTAAATATTTGAAAAATACTATATGCATGCGTACAGTACAATATTAAAATAGTAATTAAATGAAATTTATATTATATACGTAAAAATTTAATTTATATAATGATATTATCATAAATCAAATATATCGGACACAATAATTAACGATAAATTAGGCTAATCTTATCTTTTCTCTATATTTTAGTTGTTTCAATATTTGTACCAATTATATAATATAGTAAGTATTTATTTATTTGCGTTATATGAGAAACACTAAAGTAGAAATAAAATACAACTTGAGAAGAAATATTTCTGTATGTATAAAGAGGTATTTATTCATGATCGTGTAAAATTCAACTGCATATAGTTAAATTTTATCGCACTACATGACGACTACTCTCGCAAACTGCACTTTGTCAGACGCGTAATATTGTGGCATTTAAATTGTCGCTAATCGGATGCTCATTGCAATAATCCGACAGATACGTAACAATACGAGGGACAAACAATTTAACTTGCCATAATATAACAATTCGATGAGTGAGCTCAACAATACGAGTTGCATCACCAACTGATGAGCGAGCTGCAACTCGACGAATAACAATATGACGATTTTCTTACATATATAGTATATTATCAGTCTACAAATTTATACTAAGTTTTTGCTCCATGTAAAAGTTAAACACAAATCGTCGTAACAAATACCCGCAACATTATGTCATGCATTCACGCGATCGTTGCATGCAATATATACAACATTCTAAGTTTAAAAATTCATCAATCTCACGCAGGATTCATACCGCACAACTATGGATCTTTTGCTCATACTTATGTTAGCTCATTTTGGTATAAGCATTTTGGTATACATACTGGATCGCGTTCTTGATTATTCGATGTAGGTTGAAAATCTAATCAGAATCGGAATCTTTTAACGACTGAGTTAACGTATTCGCGTGTCTTGTGTCATTCTATTTTATTGTCCACCAAAAGTTTTATGAAACTCTGCTGCAACGTTTCAAAGAGTCTATACACAAAAACGGCAAATATTCTGCACCTCATTAAAATTGAGCAAATGTAACAATACAGCAACAATAAAGAAATATCAATATTTTGTAGAAACTTTAACAAATGCTTATAAACAATCGTTATTAAATCATTTGGATTATTAACGCTATTATTGCGCGCGCGTGAGTGTAAATGTGTGTGTATGTGTGTGTGATGTGTGTGTGTGTGTATATATACATATACATACATACATACACATATATATATATATATATACACAAGCTCGCTAATATACTGATTTATCGCTTCATAACATGTGATATGATCGTACGCGTATTATGTACAACTCGAGTGATATTTTCACAGGTAATTTGATACGACTTGATACATGTGTTAAATTCATATCCGAGATCCATATTTAACACTATCTCATTAATTTTTGAACTCGGCCAGATTTTAATCACATATTTAAAACGCGATATTGGTTAATTTGCGTAGCACGAGCTGTGATACTACTTTTAAAGTAGTACAAGTCCTTGGAAAAATAATCTTAGCTTTATACGAATATCTCAGAGTGACTTGGTGATATTGTTAAACAATCGTTTGCCCCACCAAGATTCCAAATCAAACGGTTTAAAGTCTGAAACAATTTATTTATATTTTTCCATTTACTTTGTACAATCAATTACAGTAGATAATATAACAGAAGAACATTAATTACTCTTAAGGTGCTAATCAATTACTCTTAGAATATCAATCTGATATAATATAATTGTAAATAGTAATATCGCACTTACCTTGCAGACTATTGTTTGGTTCACCATCATTGTAATATACTATCGAATCCTTAGGACCTAGTGTATAAAACATAAAATTATATAATCTAGATTATTTAGAATGTCTTTCTTTTTAATAAATATAATAGGTATGAGCACATATATACATATATATATATATGCACATATATATATATGCACATACATATCCCAATCACAAATAAATTATAGTATGTACGATAGAGACATAACAATTTTTCATGAGAAATAAAAAATAGAAAAATCTTTTAGAAAAAAATTGCATATAATTAAAAAAAAAAACTTTTTTATAGAGATGTATCTATGTTTTAGTATCTATGTTTGTACATGTATATTGCTACTTACTGCAAAGTTCTGTACATTCTGTATCATCGCAACATTCGCTTCTTTGCCGTGTATTAACTTGATTCCATGCTGTTAAAAATAATAAAGCAGAAGTAATATATTTAGTTTAGAAGTAACATTAGAAAAAATACATACATGAGCACACAATATATTTTTTTTCTACTGAAGTGTCATTTTTATTACTTTTTTCATATTTGATATGAGATTTACTTTTAAGCTTTATTTCAAACAAGTATGTAAAATGCTCTCTTACTTACATTCGTAAATAAATTTGATAAGTTCCTCGTGCTGTGGAGTGATAACTTGTTGCATCTGATGTCGTTGTGAGATGAACTTGGATTTTCCATTCATATGGAAGACTGGTTTTGGTACGTGACTGTGTGAATATGAAATATATATATTAGACTGACAAGAAAAAAAAATTTTTTAATCGGCCTCTCAGCTCAAAAACTTTCATTTCATGCCAAAGGAACAGCCCTAAATTTTTATCAAAAAATATTAAGATTTAGAGATCGCTAGTGAACGATTTTTAAATCAAAGTTCTGATTTTCCTTAATACATGTTTGATTTGATGCAAAAATAGCTTAATCCAGATTTTAAATATGGTACTATATGTTTTTTTGGTCGCTGAACACGATGTAATAATTCATTTAACCCTACGATATACACCTTAAGAAATATAGCTCGATTAATGTGAAAAAACAAATAAATTTTGAATTCAAGGTCAATTTTAGTAAGGTTCCAAGCGTTCAAATGGGACATTAAACTCGAAATTTGGTAATTTTTTCACATTAATCAGGCTGCATTTCTTAAGGCATATATCGTAGAGCTAAATAAATAAATTATTGCACCATGTGTTCAGAGACCAAGAAAACATACAGTACCACATTTAAAATCCAGTTTAAGCCATTTTTGCATCAAATCAAACATATATTAAGGAAAATCAAAACTTTGATTTAAAAATCGTTCACTAGCGACCTCTAAATCTTAATATTTTTTAATAAAAATTTGGGGGTGTTCTTTTGGCACGAAATGCTTTTGAGCTGAGAGGCCGATTAAAAAAAATATTGCTATGCTACAATAAAGCTTCTATGCCTATATATATATTAGACTGACACAAGGAAAAAAGAAGATATTTTTTTTAATCGGCCTCTCAGCTCAAAAGCTTCCATTTTATGCCAAAAGAACACCCTTAAATTTTTAACTAAAGCAATAGTTCTTTTTCGTCACACGCGTTTATCACACACATGCAATCTTATGTAATATGCAGTGAAATATTAAGGAATAAAGTTATTTAACTGTCCTAGGAAATATAAAGAAAAGTCAGTTTTCAATAAATATATTTACGTCACGTTTCATTAGATATATTCCATTAGGAATTTCAATGACACGCATCGATTGTGTTAATAATTTGCTGATTTTACGGAACAAATTCTGATGAATTGCGTAATGTCGAAAGCAGCGGTGGCTGCCCAAGGAGAAGGAATAACGTGAAAAAGTTGCATCGAGAAAGGGGTTAGATCGCTTCTCTCTCTCTCTCTCTCACCAGATGATCTCGTGGTCGTCTTCGATATCGGCTTTCCTCGTCAAATCGCGCAAAGTTTCCAGTCTTTCGAGATTCTGACTGATCCCTATGAAAAGCGAGAATTCAATTTGTAAGCTCCAAACCATGATCTACAATTGTCCACAATTGTCGTCTAGAATCTAGGCTAGTTAGGCGACATTGAGAAATCCAAATTTAGAGTACCTCGTCGTGTTTTCGCTACAATCTTGCTAGGTCCTTTTGATACGGTATACATGTTCCTCGTCCTCAAATAAGCGCGGAAGCTTCTTTTCGTGAACGCAATGCCAGGTCATTCGCGATCAATCGTTACGCCTGTCGCGTGTTCTACTCGACTACTTCTCGAGCGATTCGTTGCTGTTCGTTGCCGATTGTTGCCGATTGCAAACTGCATGAAATTGCACCGAATGATACCGAATGCCCGAATGCCGATATTGCCAATTCAGCAAGGCTCGTGTAATTTCGAACTACTCTGAAGTCAGCTGAAGCGAAGCTCGCACTTCATTGACTCTACAGTGATATTGCCGGCTTACTACTGCTTGACTGCTCACTGCTCAAGTACTCGCGATGCTTACCAGTCTTACCTTACCATCCATCGCGACTTACGATAGTTAAGCCCAAGACACAATGCGAGGGAATAGCGATAGGAATAACACGATTTCAATCTATCAGAAATCGGATACACCGGAATACAGTTTTTGATAGGTCGAAACCGTGTTATTTCTATCGCTATCGTTAAATCACTATTCTCTCGCATTGTGTCTTGGGCTTTACGATTATGAAATCGCTGATCGCTTTCATCAGGCATCATCAGCGCAGCCCATGAACGATGAACCGCACTAACAAATACTCCAATAAATATACTCGCGAGTATTGGAGTGATTGGAGTATGTTTATGCTCCTTACAATACTTGCATCAGTACTAAACATTCTGCCGCTATTCCGTACATGGTAAGATAAAAAAATCATTTTCCAATTTCTACAAACTCCTTATAAAAATTATTCTCGCTATTTATGTTTTAATTTTTAATTTGATATTTCTTTAATGAGTTTGTATAGAATAGAAAGAGGGGGGGGGGAGAGAGAGAGAGTTTAATGCATTGCATATACGTATATAAATTGTTTTTAAGATAACGCAAATAATGTCTTATATTTGAAAATATAATATAGTGTGTGCAAGAGAGATATAAAAATACAAAGAAATTTATTTGTGATGCACAGTTTTATTCTCTGCGTAAATCAAGAGTACAGATTATCCTTATTAACTTTGAGTTCAGTTAATACAGGCACCGCAGGTGTACTTGTTTTTTTAGCCATCTATTTGCACTAACAAGTATGCATAAATACAGTAAAAACACAAATATAAGCAAATATAAGATAGGAAGTATAATATTATGAATAAATGTTAGGACAATCGATAAAATTATAAAAATCAAGAGTTTTTCATTCTTTCTCAGAGCTATAAACATAGGATGTTAAAAAATCTCTAATTACCAATATTACTGTTGCGTTTATAATCATTTTTCAGAATATGTTACTCATTTATAATATATTATTACACATAACTGCAGTAATAATAGCAGTAATAATAAATTCATGCTACTAATTTATATTAATCTATAATAGTAAAATCTCTACAAAGTCTCTATACAATAGTAAGAATTACAATAGTAAAAATAATAATAAATCTGTAAAATGTATCTCTGTATATAGAATGTCAAACAGCTGAGACAAAATTTACTTCAACATAGAAAAATAGTTTATCAATATATAGATAAGATTGATTATTCAATTGGATACTCGTCCAGATATCGTCCATCAATCCGAGAATTTCATCTAATTGCGAATTTCACGCTTAATTCGCCATTTCGAGACAAAATTTATCATAATAAAACTGTTGCGATATATTGTATAATCTGGATTTTTTTTCCATGGACGCATTGTTGCTTATGTACAAATATAAACTAATCCTTAACATGCTATTATTACATATAATAATCAATTGCAATGATTCAGAGAACAACTTTAAAGCAACTTGTCTATCATTTATACGTGTGTGTATGACCACAATTTTATAACTGAAACAATATCTCAGACATGATTGCATACGATCAGTTACCTTATTAAGTACGTACAAGCACAAGCATTTTTCATGTGTATACTCTACTGTATTTTTCTATTTTATTTCTCAGCCCCTTATCTTAAAAATACAAATCCGTAGCTTAAATTATCGACGATGTTGGGAGCGTGATTTAAACAGAGGGAAAAATCGTAGATACGTGCCGTTTAAAATAGCACGGCAGTCCCAAGTAAATTTAACCTCCCATTTTACAACAGATAATTTTAAGGTACTTAAAGTGCGAATAAAGATTTATCTTGATCTTTGTTAATTTGGCGCTGAATGTTCTGATTTCCGGTAGTCGAAGAATTCGAGGTGGCAGTTGTGGCTGTAGGGAGCGTTGGTAAAGCTTCAGCCGCGGCTGCACGTTCTGCTAAGAAGCGCTCAAATTCCGATGATGTTAGGGATTCTTGATCACCTTGTCCTCCAGGCTGTAATACAAATTATGTTGTTTGATACTGACGCTTTTGTAAATGTAATTGCGAAAAGAGAATCTTTTAAATTTATGCGATTATTATGATTTTGAACATTTGGTTTGCTTGAAAACAAATATTTATAAAATTGATTTGAAAGCCTAAACTACTAAAGTACTTACTGTGCGATCTAACCAGGCTGCCATTTCATTGAATTCAGATTCCAGGTTCGGCTAAGTATAGAAAAACAAACACAAACATTGAACAAAACAACAAAGAAATACAAATCATATGCTATAACGTTGATGCAAACAAAATTCAATAATAACGTAGTCAAAATTAACATGTGTCTTCATGCTTTTAAAGCGATATGCAATCGTGATAACGAATATGTGTAAGCAATATTCCATAAGAAATTACCTCCTTTGTTCCCTTCTAGTGTACCAGGTGTACAAGTATGAAATGCGGATTTTTCCCCCCCCCCCAAAAAAAAACCGTTAAATCCGGAAGAATGATAAAAAGTGATTTATTCAAAGTATGCTCCATTGCTAGTTACACATTTTTCCCATCTTTCGGGTAATTTGTGGATACCACGCCAGTAAAAATCTTCCCCTTTTGCCGCGAACCATTCATCGAGCCATTTTTTCACATCTTCGTACGAACCAAAGCGCTGCTCAGCAAGTGCGTGACCCATTGATGCAAACAAGTGGTAAGCAGAAGGAGCCAAGTCTGGTGAATAAGCCGCATGGGCTAGCACTTCCCAGCTGAGTGCTTCCAACATGTCGCGAACCGGTTTTGCCGTATGTGATGGAGCATTGTCATGGAGAAAAATAATCTTGTGTTGCCTTTTTTGATATTCTGGTCGTTTTTCGAGTAGCGAACGATTCAAATCGATCAATTGTTGTTGGTAGCGTTTGGTATCAACCGTTTCACCAGGCTTTAACAGCTCATAATAAACCACACCCTTATGGTCCCACCAAACACAGAGCATCGTCTTTCTGCCAAAGCGATTCGGTCTTGCAGTTAATGTGGATGGTGCGCCTGGATCTACCCATAATTTTTTGCGCTTGGGATTCTCAAAAAATATCCATTTTTCATCCCCAGTAACGATACGATGCAAAAATGACTTTCTTTTGTATCGTTCGAGCAAAATTTCACATGTGTTTTTGCGCCTCTCCATCTGCCTCTCGTTCAACTCATGTGGTATCCATCTGTCGATCTTCTGAATCTTTCCCATCTCTCGTAAGCGATTGGAAACAGCTTGTTGACTAACGCTCAATTGCTCTGCGAGTTGTTTTTGTGTTTGTGAATCGTCTTCGTCCAACAATGCTTGCAATTCTACATCTTCGTACCTTTTTGGCGGTTTTCCGTGTTCCTTGTCTACAACATCGAAATCACCACTTTTGAAACGCCGAAACCATCGTTCACATGTATCTTGCGATGGAGCATGTTCACCATAAGCTTCTCGAAGTAATCGGTATGATTCAGCAGCAGTTTTCTTCAAATGAAAACAAAAAATTAATGCTGTCCGCGAATGCTCTTTACTTGGCACAAATTTCGACATATTGAACACAGAAAAACAATACTATGCAAACATTTTTTCAATTTATTACTTATGCGCGTTTGACACTTGTTGATGGCACAACAAAGTGACTTCTTCTTCTTCTTAATTAATTATGGCTCCCACCTCCAAACAAATAGGAGGTCGATACGGCCAGATCACGTTTATGATTGTTTTCCGTGTATTAAAAAAATGATGCAACATCTGCAAAAATGGCTAAGCCTGTTCGAACATCAGGCACCTGCGTCTACAGCGTCGTCACGCCGTAAGGACGCGCGTCAGGACGACCGAACGGATCGTCCAAGACCGCGGGATGATTATGTGTGTTTCAATGCTCGGTCAAAGTCGGCATCACTTTCAAAAATATATAATAGCTATACACCCGAGTCGAGACGCGTCCACCACAAGCGAGTGGTTCATCAGAAACACTGACAACAAAATGGCATATACGTCAAATCTTTATACTACATTGGTGCACCATCTGTTGTCTCAAATCCGCACTTCATACTTGTACACCTGGTATGTATATACATATAAAATATCAAGAACATTGACAACACAAATTTACATGTAACATTAGCGCATGCAGTGTTTGAAATTGGCATTAAACTGAATCGTAAAAAAATTGAATGTTTATATTATTATGCAAATTACAGTATTTTAGACAACCTTCAGTTGGCAGCAGTCGGTCGTAAAAAATGTGTTTATTAGATAAGATTGATGAGTGTAGTGACTAATTGTTTCTAATCGTTAGTTTAAGGAGAGAATGTTACGCACACTAGCACTAGTAGTAGTCTGTTGAGGTAATTTAGGATTATTGCGGTTGAGAATTGCCGTACTTAAACTCCCTCCTCTCACCTGCTCCAAATTATCTTCGTACTTGCTGCCACTGTAATTGGAATATATTAGTGTTATTGTGTGTATGTGAATCAAATTAATCTATACAAATACATATTGAAATAAATAAATATATATTGAAGGAAATTTGTAATGTGTGATGAACTTTAAAATAATTAAATATGCAATATAATGTTAATGTTTTCTTCTCTTATCATTTTTGTTTATGTCATAAATAATTGCAAAGAAGTGCGTTTGGAGCTTTGTGTATTAATATTTACCGTGTTATACAATTTTATTTTTAATTATATAAGATATATATATTTTTTTTTAAGAAAAAAGATATATTTAAAGAAAATATATCACAGCCTATATATACATATTTTTTTACTAAACCATAAAAAGATTGTACACACACACACGCACATATTACTTTATTGAAATAATTTCAATAATCTTCTGTTATTATGAATGATGAATTTTAATTAATTACAATTTAATATACAATACCTATTTTTTGTTGTTTCGTACGTTGCATTACGCGATTGTGCAAACATATCAAATTCATCACTATCCCCTTCTTTTTTCTCCTTTTGTTTTGCGTTTTTGTCTCCACCTTCAGCCGCATCTAATATTTAAAATACGATAGAATATTATCAATCTTGAGAAAAAGTTCATATGAATGTGATACAGAGCAAATATACGAGAAATATATAGAAATAGCACTTTTTATAATATTTAATACAATTTTGCACTGTGTAATTTTACATTAGATTAATACAACTTTGACTTACCGAGTTCATTCATTTGTTTTGTTAAATTATCCACATCATCAGATAAATCTATAAGTGATTCCGCTTCTCGTTTAGTAAGAGTTTGAATCGATTCAGCAATCGGTGGTTGTGCAATTGTCTGGGCTAATATAGTGCTCGCCGGTACTTGCATTTTATTCTTCGTATAACGCGTATAACGAAGAAAGAGATTATTTAATTCATCATTAATGCGTAATAGTTCTGCTGTCATTTCATCATGGGCCAATTTACCAATTAAATCGACAACACGTTCTTGCATTGCTTTACACGTCGAATGAAGTTCCTGCAAATAATTATTTAGACATTGGAATTTATATACTGGAATTTACCAAAGCAATTTTACAAAAACAAGGAAAATCTAAAAACATGAATAAAAAAACGAGGCAAAACTTTACTCAATAAATTTATAAGAAACTAAAGACACACACACACACACACACACACACATATTTAGAGATTCCTACGTTCAATAACTCAAGATCCGCAGAATCTGGTTGTTGCTTGCAACTTTGATCTGGACTTGTAAAGTGCGCCAACATTTCCGATAACACACGCATATTTCCTTGAACAACATCGAGTTCACTTTGTAATTTGGCCAATTGTTGTTCGCTCAATTGAGTTAATTGGCCAGACTGTGATGTTTGAGAAGGTAAATGTTGCGTTCCCAAAGACGCGGGTTGCTCATTTGTAGCCAGAGTTGCCGGAATTTGCTCTGTTTCAGGTACACTCTATAAAAATATTATTGACAAAAAGAAACAAAATTATTTTCAGAGATATAAATGGACCAAACGGATAGCGCAGATAATAGTTTTATCTCAACTGATAGCGTCTTACTCTTTCTGGAGTGATGATTGGTGCCATAGCATCTAGATCAGTCATTGGAAACTGTATGCCCTTCATCTTTAATTCTTGATAAACTTGCACAACACCTTGAGTGTGCGGCTGATGACGGAATGTATCTGCCCAAGTTTGGATTAAACTTAAAACTTTCTCTTGAACTGCTGTCGGTGGTTCATTTTTGGGACCGATTAATTTAAATAAATCTTGCACAAACTCTCTCGAACAAGCAAGAGCATGAAAACGTTTCCCACAATTTTTCACACACGTTTCCAATACCTATTATATATACAAATTATATTGTATTGCAGCCATTTACATTATAAATTAATAAATATAAATATGCTCATATTCACATACAATATTACAGTATTTTCGTAGTGATTTGATCAAGAATACACACTTAAAAATGTAGTCGTAGGTATAATAATATACAACTGCCAATCAACATGGCACTAATCATATAAATCAAATAAAAAAATTGTCAAGTGGCACTTGTGATTAAAGTGGCACTTACTTATTATATTATTATTACAAAGATTCACGTGGGTGGTGCATGAAGTACTCAATTAAAGCAAACTATGGATATATTTTGTTATACTGGATATGATTCTACATAAGCAGTATCATTATATGGTATGATTTATGATACTAACGGTAAGCGTATACATGACTATGGTGTAATTTTTGCCCGCTGCCTGATTAAGTCTGCGTTTTATAGCTTTAATAGCATCTTTTGGCCCATCCTCGGTTTCATTTATAATATCACATATCTCCATATTAAGCGTCCAATTCTCACTGGGTAAGCTACCATCTGTAGCAGACTCTGAAATGACAAAAAAGAAAAAAAACCGCACTAATGACGATTGCAGACGACAACGACGTTGACGACGACGACGACTCGCTACGAGTGTACAGATCTATTATTCAGAATATTTGACACGTAACAATGCTATCGATCATAATTAAATTAATTGAAAATAAAGTGAAATCGTATTTCAAGTACGCACTTGCAAGTTCTCGTCAACCAATAAATCTCTAATAATTTTCCAAAGGAATAGAAATCCCGGAGAAACGATAAACATATTCGATATAATTCGATATGATGACCAAAAATGAGGAATAATAAAGGATACTTACCGATCTTTTGTCCTACTTGCGTAGAAAAGGGATTGCTTACTCCAAAAAGTGACATTTTCTCGGAGCACGAAGAACCTGCGTCGTTAACTGCCGCGTTTTCTACCGTTCACACTCACTCGCATACGTATTACGTATACGTGAAACGTGCCCGATAATCGCTGACAGGAATGACAATTGGTGCACACTGACAACTTGTCAATTTCGCGTAAGACCGATCTAACCGATTGACAGAATCATATGACCTATGCAATAGTAAAGGCGGACCGCGAGGCGACCAGAAGCGATCAAGGCAGACATCGAATCGCAAACAATCGCAAATGTCATGAAAGCTCGAAAGCGCGCGGCCGCCAATCAGCGGCGTCACGATGCATTCCAATTCCCGAATAATCCCGATGCCATCCAATGCTGCCCAATGCTGAGACTGAGCCGCTGAGGCCGCAAGCAATGGGCTCATTGACTGCGTTCAGCAGACTCAACAGTTTTGCAACCGTTTTATGATTGTCTGCTGAGATAGGACCATTCTTCTAGATCTAAAAGTATGATCCAATCAGCGCGAAGGAAACTTCCAACAGTTGCAAAATAAACGTTCTGCTGAACGCAACCATTCAGCGGACTCAACAGTTGAGTGAGCGCTCGCTGTTATTGGTGTATTCTTTTAGATCATCCAATCATAATTTTAGATCTAGAAGAATACGTCAATAGCAGCGAACGCTCA